TACAAATGACGCGTCAGGAGAAGGGGGGGCAGGAACCATTTTCCTCCTCCCTCCCCCCTTTCTCCTGCTGTGTCATCTACAGCCATCTGATGGAGCCCGGGTGAATTATTATCTTTTTTTACTGTGTTTTTGGGAAGGGTTTGGTATTCCCACAGTTTTCTGGGCTAATTGCAGACACCGGAAGTAGTGGGTTTATCCCGTACCTTCCAAGAAGGTGCAGAATAAACCCACTATCAAATTAATTCGCCACAAACCAGGGTTTTCCTGGTTTGTGGTGGATTAATTCTGATTTGTCCAGAACGTCATCTGGACAGCCACCTTTTTATTGCGGAAGTTTCTCCATTAAAAGGCCTGTCTAGATCCGCCGAAGGCACCAAGAGAGAGTCGTTTTCAGATCTGCTTCAATCAGAAAAGAGCCCTTTCTCCCAAAACTTGGAACTTCATAACAGGAAAGATATCAAAGACAATAAGAGAATCCCAGTGAACATTTCCAGTACAGTTGTTTAATTTTCTTTTGTTCTCACTTTTAGCAATAACCTATTATACTTCTCTTTGTGTTCTGGAGGCTTGACCCCCCCCTCCCCATCTTTCACATAAAAATATGAAATCTATCTGATCTTTTAAAATATTACTATTTTTTTAAAAAAAACCCTCACATATTTGATTTTAGAAGCACATACTGACATTTGTGATTTCCTTGTTTGTATCCTCTCGTTGCACTGGTAAGAGCACTGGCTGTTTTCCACCTGAAGAGAAATCGTGGAATGTCTTTATTGTCCTGCGTGTTAATTGAGAACAAGCTGGGTTTCGTTAGTGCCCATTTACCAGTGTTTGCTTGTTTGGTCTCCTGACCAGTTTTTATTTTACGTCACCATGTTGATAACAAGCATTCCTGGTGAGATATCATGCAGAGAGTAGTGGAATGTGCAGCTCCCAGGAATAATCAGAAGTTTGTTGGGCACTGGTTTATCATCCTCCATCAAAGAACATGCAGCCTTTATAAATAAAGCTGCCAAACTGGTTTGTGGTAGAGTTTCTGCATCTTTAATTTAGCGGCTAGCTAATTCGACAGGCAAGTCTTCCTATGTTTCAGGCAGAAAGTCTCTGCTTGTTGTTCTACTGTCCTTTGTGCACTTGTCAAAGGCACAAGATAGATTGCAAAAATATAGTCGGGTTTATAGCAAGAGTGTGGACACAGTGACCCACAGATTGTATGTGGCCCAAGACAGGATTTCTTTGTGATCACCAGACCTCCCCAAATCTCCCCAAAGTTCTAGCTCATCCTGAATAAAAAAATTTCTAGGCAATTTTCCATTGTAAAATTTCCCTGGTCCTGATTTTTTGCCCCTAATCAGATCCACAATGCCCTTTAGGGACAGTGGATTAAACCGCTTAGCTGCTGAACTTGCTGACTGAAAGGTCAGTGCTTCGAATCCAGGCAGTGGGGTGAGCTCCCATCATTAGCCCCAGCTTCTGCCAACCTAGTAGTTTGGAAACATGCAAATGTTAGTAGATCAATAGGTACCACTCTGGTGGGAAGGTAATGGCTCCCCGTGCAGTCATGTTGGCCACATGACCTTGAAGGCACCTATGGACAATGCTGGCTCTTTGGCTTAGAAATGGAGATGAGCACCACAGCCCAGGGTCGGACACGACTAGACTTAATGTTAAGGGGAAACCTTTACCTTTTAAGGGAACCCATCTGCAGAAATTGGAAGTTCTTATCTGGTGATGTGATTGTCCCCACCACACACGCATACACATTTGCATACCTACACTTTACAAAAAGAAAATCAGGTTCATGCAGGGGGCTGTTCGTTGGACATGCCAAGTTCAAATATCTTTGGGGAAACTATTCTCTCTAAGCCAAACTTCGCAGGGTGATTTTGAACACTGAATACCACAAGGCAACTGCCCAGGAGGCTTTGCAGAAAAAGCTGGAGGGCTTTACAACGTGTTTCAAAATGATGGACCCAATTTCAAAGGAGTATATTTCATGATGGCAACATGTCACAATAACACAAAAATGTACAAACAGTTTAATGAACAATCAAGTTATTAAGTTTCACTCTGCTGATATTGTTGAAAAGATTCAGCTCCATGCTGATCTGTTTTAGTGAACCTAGGAAACATCAATTTGACAATGGCTAGCATTGCCAACTTGTGAATGACTGTTTATGCACTGAGAGAGGCATCTAGCAGTACTCCTTTGAAACTCTATGCCCCACCCTTTCAAGTGGTAAGAGTTTTAATCATGCTTGGTTCGTGGTTGCAGAGATATAATGATTTAAAATCAGGCCCATCTTTTGAAACACCCCCAGGTCATTGATCTATCAGTGCCAAAAAGAATTTATCCTCGGTACCGATAATTTGAGGAATCAGGCTATTTATGTAAGAGGAAGAACACAGGGTGACCACACACTTCAGAAGTCAAATTGATGGCTAATTAACTTATTTGCCATCATGAAATACACTGCTTTGAAACTGGATCAATTATTTTGAAATTGTGTGTATAATAAATGCACAAGGAAAACTTCCAGAAAATGATAGTCTTGTTGCCTTTTGGAGCACAACCAACATATGCATTGATGAACAAGGCATGGTTGTGCCGTCCTCCTGTGGCAAAGGCTCAAATGACTTAAACTGGGTTGAGACACATGACCTATACAAAACATTTGCTAAGAACAATTCACACATAATCACCCCCAAACAGAGATAAGATAGCCACCAAACAAAAGGGCTGGGTGATCCAGTCTTATTGAGTTCCCTGTTGTTTACTCATGGAAAACATTCACTGGATTGTGCCAGTAAATATTTGACATTCTGTCCAGCCCGCATATCAGATTTCAGCTTTGGGCAGCCAGATACCTATGAAAACAGCTGTGTCAGTGCAAGTAGTAATGGGGAAGAGGAAGGGAAGTGCTTGCAGAAGGACTCATACGCTGTACAAAGACAGTCAGGAAAAAGTACAAATTATTATACCGCAACAATACTGCCAGCACTGTATATACATGTTCATCGTTACTCTGCCCATGTAGCAGAGCAGCACTGAGGAAAATTTGGATAACCAGATGTTTTGGATGACAACTCTCAAGAGCAAGATTTCACAGATTTCTTCTCTCTTCAGTCTTCTGCTGAGTGCAAACTAGTTTGGCATTTTGAACCTCCCAGAGATGGTAGAAATGGTAGATAAGTTGGCATGGTGGCATCAGATCACTGGTTCATTCAATTCAGTATTGTCAGGTGACAGGCAGCAGCTCTTCAGGGTTTAAAAAAGCTGCCTTTTCCAGTCCTATCCAGGTATGTCAAGGCTTGAAGCTATGATCTTCTGTGAGGAAAGCATCTGCTCCATCATTGAGACACAATCCTTTCTTCATTTGAGACAAGTACCTGTGGCTTCCAACTCTTGAATTCCATCAGCTGTTTTCACTTCCTGGGCTGCTTCATCTTTAAGATCACTCAGCATGTGCTGATGTGCACACAGACACACGCTAATGCTGCAGCAAGTTAATTCAAATTCGATTTCATGAGAAACTTAAGCAAGTATAAATGCAATGGCTGTTTATTGGCATTTTTTTCTCACTTTGCAAATCAAAGCACTGAGCAGAAAGGGATATGCACACCATGAAACCCCCACCAACAGTGTCTAATACTAAAAAAAAATGTAATTGATTAACTTCCGGCTTCTGCAAGTCATCCCAACACGGTCAAATTGCTTTCAACCTCAAATCTGCCTTCATAGACCTAAGAGCTAGAAGCTCAAAATAATTAAAAAAAAAAACAAGAAAAAGGTTTAAGTTCTCAAGCTGTGAAGTCAGATTTGGATGCAAATTTCTGTGCTTGCTGTGATGCAAGCTTGCAACTTCTGTGCTTGCAAGACACATGATTCAGCCCCACTACTGTATTTTTCTATACAAGTCTTCCTGATTTTGGGGTGAAGCATTTCTCCCATTCCACCTAACAGATATATTTGGTGAGGATGCAGGCAAGGGGCTTCTTCGTGGTTTCTCCTTGGAGCTCATTTGTTTGCGAGTCTAGACTGGCTCCTTCCTTGTTATTCTTCTGTTTCCACGTGGAAGCCTTTCTATTCCAGCAAGTATTTGAGAAGTCATTGTTTTATATAATGTATTTTTTGTTCTAGTGCTGTATTATTTTTAATCTATGGCTTTGTATCAATGTTTTGTGCAGTTTTAATTCTTTAGACTGAAATTCATATGTTTCTAGCTACAGTAGAGTCTCGCTTATCCAACCTTTGCTCATCCAACATTCTGTATTATCCAACACAGTCTGCCTCCTGCGTGGATCCACAGCTGTTTCAATACATTGCGATGTTTTGCTGCTAAATTTGTAAATACAGTAATGACTACATAATGTTCCTGTGTATTGAGCTGCTTTTCTTGTCATTTTTTTGTAAAACACGATGTTTTGGTGCTTAATTTGTAAAATCATAATGTAATTTGAAATTTAATAGGCTTTTCCTTAATCCCGCCTTATTATCCAACATTTTCGCTTATCCAACGTTCTGTCGACTCATTTATGTTGGATAAGGGAGACTCTACTGTATATATTGTCAGATTTGCATTTCTGTTTATTCTGTAGGCTGTCTTGACTTCCTCTTTTGAGGAGAAGGCAGGATATAAACAAAGTGATTGATTGATATTATTTGTAACTCCCAAAACAACATTAGAATTGAGTCCTTGGGTCTTCTGAAAAGACTGGGATTTATTATGCCACCTGTAAAATGGGTTGTGACAGCTGGAGACCTATGAGATAGTGATATGAACAATGGCGGGGGCAGACAAAAAAATTGGGAACAAGATGAACAAATCCGTAAAGATGCATAAATCCAAAGTGAGTCATTGCTATTCATTCTCTCACTGAAGAATCCTACCTTCTTCCCCTATTCTGAAGATATATTGAGACTATGGAAATAGAAGCACTTTGCATTTTTATTATTAGCAGTAATAACTGCATTTTATTTTTTGACTGATTATCCCCAGATTTCTGGATCCATAATCATTCACGTCACAGATAGAGGGAGCCAAGGCTGAAACAGGATAATAGCCTTTAAATCCCCTTCTCTAAGCACTCAGATCTTCCCTGTCAGCAAGATTAAAGCGGTCAACAGCAGTCCCCATGTGTCTGTATCCCACACTGAGTTTTAACAACAACTGGAGCTGCTGGCTGCTGGGGAAAGAAATGTGACGCCGCCTTAGTGCCTGATGCTTCAGGCGGGAAGACACAGAGGGGAACGCCGCAGCCAAGGGAGCACATCTTACAGCGGTGGTGGTGGCAGGACGGAGAGTTGCATCCAACTGGCTGACTAGAGAGGCAACATGTGGCCTTTGAAGCCAAGAAAAGACTCCCAGGGCAAAGCCTACAAAGCCAAACTACAGGAGGCCTCCTTGGACTCTACTACAGGAGGTAAAGGAGACACAGTGTGCATAGACACACACTCCAGGGGATTTGGTGTGCCTCAGTGGGGACCCAAGCGACAATTGCTGCTGGAAACAGAGAAAAACTATTATTCCTTTGAGGATGATGAGGAGGAGGAGTTGGAGGAGGAGGAGGAGGAAGAAGAAGATGAAGAAGATCAAGCAAGGCTTTCGCCAGTGTTTCCATTCAGTCCGTCATTTCATCCTGAAGCGGGTACGACCACTGCAGCTTCCTCCTCCGTGCTCAACATCAATGTTGGTGGCCGGACTTATCGCCTTACCTACCAGGCTGTGGCCATTTATCCCAACACACGACTAGGCCGCTTGGCCACTTCCACTGACCGTCGCTGCCAGTTAGGCCTGTGTGATGACTACGCTGCACAGGGGGATGAATATTTCTTCGACCGAGACCCTGCTGTCTTCCAGCTCATCTACAATTTCTATGCTTCGGGAGTGTTGCAGGTGCGGGATGAGCTGTGCCCCCGCAGCTTCTTGGAGGAGCTGAGCTACTGGGGGGTACGGCTAAAATACACCCCCCGCTGTTGCCGCATCTGCTTTGAAGAGAGGCGTGATGAGCTGAATGAGCAGCTAAAGGTGCAAAGGGAGCTCCGGGCCCAAGCGGCCGTTCAGGAGAGCGAACGCCTCTTCCGACACATGCGCTATGCTGCCCAGCGATGGCGCCTTTGGAACCTTATGGAGAAGCCCTTCTCGTCCACCATGGCCAAGGCTATGGGTGTGGCCTCCAGCTTCTTTGTCCTCATCTCAGTAGTGGCACTGGCTCTCAATACTGTGGAGGAGATGCAGCAGAAGGACAAAGTCAATGGAGTGATCCGACCCATGCTGGAGCATGTGGAGACCTTCTGCATCGCCTTCTTCACCTTAGAATACATCCTGAGGTTGATCTCCACTCCAGATCTGCGCCACTTTGTTACCAGTGCCCTCAACGCTGTGGATCTCATTGCAGTCTTACCCCTCTACATCCAGGTATTTCTAGAACATTTTGTAGAGGATCTGCCACGTGGACAAGGCTCCTCACATGAACATGACATTGAGAAAGTGGGACGGGTTGGGAAAGTAGGACAAGTGCTCCGTATCATGCGCCTCATGCGCATCTTCCGCATTCTCAAGTTGGCCCGCCACTCAACTGGGCTGAGAGCTTTTGGCTTCACATTACGCCAGTGTTACCAGCAGGTGGGCTGCCTCTTGCTATTCATTGCCCTGGGCATCTTTGCCTTCTCTGCCATGGTTTACACTGTGGAGCATGATGTTTCCAGCACAAACTTCACCAGCATCCCCCATGCCTGGTGGTGGGCAGCCGTAAGTATTCACTTGGCTCTTTGCTATTTGTTGCCCTACCTCTGCCCTTTCTCTCTGTGTGTGTCTACTTCGAAAGCAGTAAAGTACACCCAGATTTGTGAACATCTGTTCTCAGCTTTGCTTTGACATAACATGTGTGTGCGCCCACACAACACATACACATACACCACCTCAGCTGGAAGCTTTAGTCCATCCATTTCAGCGGATAAGTCTATAATCGGCGAAGCTGAGTATGAATTGGATGGCTATTTGTGTCTACGCTCAACACAGACTTCCTGCTGCTGCTGCTGCTCATTGAGAAAAGAGATGAAAGTGTTGGGATGCAGAACACATGTCTGCATTACTGGCATGACTAGTTTGCAGAAACTAATATGCATCTGCTGAAAGCTACCATTTAAACTTTTAGAGGAAATCAGAGTTGGAAATATTACGTTTGGAGATTACAGTTCCCAGAATCTCACTGGATGGAGGAAATGTAGGAATTGTAGTGTCAAAAAGTAATATTTTCCAGTTCTGATCTTTAAGGGATGGGGAAAGGCTTTATTTCCCTTCTTGATGGGAATTTAGAGAAGCAGCTCTACCAGAAGATTCCGCAGTGCCATTAAAAAGGTCCATCAGTTTGCCCACAGTTGAAAATTAAAGACAAGGATGGCAGCTCATGCATATGTATGTGTGTGCAAGGCAAAGACAGGCAGATATGACAGCTGCCTTTCATAAGGCTTTCCAGACAGCTGGCAAGAGTGACTACAAAGAGAACACAAAATGATATTTTGTTTTATTTATGCCAAGCCAGTAACAGTGGGCAGAAATAACAAAACAGAGCAGGAGAGTCTGGCTTAGTTGTGAGTAATGTGATATGGAGCTTCTAGTTAAGAAATCTCTAGTTGAAATGGATCACAAGCCGCCCCTGACTGATAAATATCCCCTCTCTTTTTGTGGAGTTGGATGAACCCTGGGGTCTTACCAAAGTAGCACCTGGGCAGAAGCTCATGCTGCAAATTATCCTGGGATGTTTTGGTGTCAGAAGTCTTTGCTGAGTTGCAAGAGCTAATCAAACATGAAAACTGAGCAGAGGATCTGTTACTTGTGTCTTCTTCCATATTTCCCCTGCTGTAGCTTCTGTCCAGGTAGTAAAATATGCATGCAGCACAGGTGATACGTTCAGCAGTGACATCTGTATAGTTTTCTGCATGGATCTCTAAGGAGTACATACACATCACAACATAAGGCAGAGGAATCTGGATCTTCTTGGACCACAGTCATTAGTCCAGCTATGTCTGGAGGGCCAAATGTTTTTCACTATTGATACAGTGAGATGCTGAACAGAATAATTCCATTGGTCTATATAACCCTATACTGGCTGGCAGTGGCTTCCCCAAGTTTCATGCAGGAATTGTTTCCTTGTCTTACCTGGAGTTGTCAGGCATTGAACTTGGGGGCTCTACACAAGAAAGGAAATTTAGTTTATCCTCTGAGATAAATAAAGCCAGTATTTAATTCAATTCATGGAAGGTAGAATTTAAATCCAGGTTGAACAAAGTGAGGACCCTCTAGATCAGTGGTTCTCAACCTTCCTAATGCTGCGACACCTTAATACAGTCCCGCATGTTGTGGTGACCCCCATTTAAAATTATTTTCACTGCTACTTCATAACTGCAATTTTGCTACTGTTATGAATTGTAATGTAAATATCTGATATGCCGGATGTATTTTCATTCACTGGACCAAAGTTGGCACAAATACCCAATATGCCCAAATTTGAATACTGGTGGGGTTGGGAAGGATTAATTTTGTCATTTGGAAGTTGTAGACCTTCAGTTTTGGAGTTGTCATTCACCTACATCCAGAGAGCACTGTGGGCTCAAACAATGATGGATCTGGAAAAAACTTGGCATGAATCCTCAATATGCCCAAATGTGAACACTGATGGAGTTTGGGGAAAATAGACCTTGACTTTTGGGAGTTGTAGTTGCTGGGATTTATAGTTCACCTGCAATCAAAGAGCATTCTGAACCTCATCAACGATAGAATTGGGCAAAACTTTCCACACAGAACCCCCATGACCAACAGAAAATACTGTGTTTCCTGGTGGTTTTTGGCGACCCTTTGATTTGCCCTTGTGACTCCCCCCCCCAGGGGTCCCGACCCCCAAGATGAGAAACACTGCTCTAGATATTGTTGGACTACATCTCCTGGCATTCATCAGTATTAGTGTTGCTAGCTAGGACTGGTGGGAGTTGTAATCCTACAAGATCTAAGGTGATGCATCATTCCCACCCCTGATGTAAGCCAGATACTCCCAAAATGTTTACAGAAAATAGAAAGCCTATAAAACGCATTGGAAACTGTAGCAGAGCAAAACCCCATCTACACAGCCATATACAATCCAGATTATCTACTTTGAACTGGATTACAGGAGTCACACTGCCATATAGTCCAGTCCAAAGTGGGATAATGTGGATTTTACATTGCTGTGTAGATGGGGCCTGAGAAAAGTTCTCTATTTGCTGTCTTTTTCTTTTTACAGGGAGTAGTCATAAAAGCACAACACATTTGTAAGGGGTTTTTTGGCAGTGATATTGTTTTATAGCCATCTAGATTCTGCATCTTGTGTGTGTACGTGCCTTCATGTCGCCTGTCATTTTATTGCAGATCCTGTGAATTTCACAGGTTTTTTTTTCTTTGCAAGGGGTGCTCAGAAATGGTTTTGCCAGTTTCTTGCTCTGAAATCTAGCTTTGCAAGGGATATTCAGAGATGGTTTTGCCAGTTTCTTGCTCTGAAATCTAGCTTACAGTGCCTGATATTCGTTGGCAGTCTCTCCTCTAAGTACTAACTAAGACTGACCTTACTTGACATCCATGATCAGATGCAAACTGATGCCTTTGGGGTAGTTATACCATGATCGTATGGTATTATAATTATTGTTATTAATCTAGAAATAAGTTGTTTTCTAGAATCAATTATTGGGTGTTTCTAGAGAGCCACATCCTACCCGGGTGGCCTTAGAGAGCCACATCCTACCCCATACCCTTCATTGTACTCATCTCATTGAAATAATAATAATAATAATAATAATAATAACCAAAATGCCGCAAAAAAGCCTCTAGAAAACATGGGACAATTTTTGTTTTGCACATTTTGGGCCCCTTTTGGCCATTTTAGATGGTAGGCACAATTTTTAACAGCAAGAAATGACTTAAGAAATAGTTTCCTATTCACTCCCTCTTTGTAGGCAGGCATCTCCTGGACCTGGAATAATATAGGAGGTGGTCAAAATGTGGTGAATATGATGCCACATGCTCCCCAGAAGTCATTTGAAGTGTGGGGGCAAAGGCGGGAAGGCATACTTTGCTCACCCCCTGTTCTACATTAATGGGTTTGAGGACAAACCACAAGTAAATGCCATATCAGAGCACTTCTAATCTTCAAGCAAACCGAAGGTTAGAGCAAAGAACTAGGAGGGTCATGATAGCCATGAGGGAAAATCATAGGAAGAAGGGAGCAAGCTTGTTTTCCGCTGCCCTGGAAACTAGGATACAGAACAATGGCTTCAAACTACAGGAAAAGAGATTTCACCTGAACATTAGGAAGAACTTCCTGACCGAAAGAGCTGTTCAGCAGTGGAACTCTCTGCCCCAGAGTATGGTGGAGGCTCCTCCTTTGGGGACTTTTAAGCTGAGGCTGGATGGCCATCTATTGGGGGTGCTTTGAATAAGATATTCCTGCTTGTGGTCAGGGGGTTGGACTGGCTGGCCCATGAGGTCTCTTCCAACTCTATGATTCTATGATCTCTTGCTACTTTGACCCTTAGCCAGGGGCCAAGCCTAGAACTGTATTGGCAAAACTAGGGGAATCCAGCAGATGGGATCAATCTCTCTTTCAGCCTCTCTCCACCACTAAAAAAAAAACCTCTTCAAGTGACTCAAAATGCTCTGAATCTGACTTTGGGAAAAGAGTTGCAGAGAGGACACTTCATTCGATCACAATGATATAAAACTAACTTTACCAGTTTTCTATCTGGTCCTCACCTGGTTACATCAGATGAGAAAGGTCAAAGTCACTGCAGGTAAATGCCAAGAGGCTCAAAATATATGGAACTGAAAAATTCACAGAAGTCCCCCCCCCTCCCCGTTTTTTTACAAATAGACAAGAAACTGCCCTCTCCAGTGTCCTGCTTCTGCATTTTCAGACTTTGTGTGAGAAACATTTACAAATGACAATTTTCCATTCTAGAACCCACAGGCTGCATACTAAGCAGCACATCTCTCTTTCATGCTGCCGTTTATTTTTGGAGATATTCCTCCTGCATTAACATTCAATCCCAGTGAGTTAATTTCCATCAGACCACAAAACTAATCCCATTTATACCAGCAAATGCGCCAGGTGCATCCTACAAATAAGCTTGCCCGGGCTCCAAGCTCAGGGAATCAGCCTTATGTTTCATTCATTCGAGGCATCAGGCTACTTTTAAAGAGAGAGAGAGAGAGAGAGAGAGAGAGAGAGAGAGAGAGAGAGAAAAGGAGTAGGAAAGGGCCGGGGCGTATGCAGGGCTGCCTTAGCAATGAATATTCCCCTGTTAAATTAACCGTGGCTGCTGTCTAACAGAGAACAACGGTGCTGCCCTGTTGTAGGCGGTTCTCCCTTTGTTTTGCCAACACCATCATCATGCCTTGGAATGGGCTATGATAACCATTACAAGGTGAACTCGGCAGAAATACAAGAGCAGAGTGAGCTATTATTCTTCAGACAAAACACAAGATTTTGACAGGAGGGCAAGCAACTCCAGGTCAATCTCCTCAGCAGGCTTCTACCTGCTTTCTGTCCTGTTCCAGATCCCTTCTGTGACAATGTATTTTCAGAAATCCATATTTATGAAAACAGGTTCAAAATACACTCCTTAGAACAGTGATTCTCAGCCTTCTTAATGCCACGACCCCTTAATACAGTTCCTCATGTTGTGGTGACCCCCAATCATAAAATTATTTCCATTGCTACTTGAAACTGTAATTTTGCTAATGTTATGAAATGTAATGTAAATATCTGATATGCAGGATATATTTTCATTCACTGCACCAAATTTGGCACAAATACCCAATACGCCCAAATTTGAATACTAGTGGGGTTGGGTTTGGGGACTGATTTTGTCATTTGGGAGTTGTAGTTGCTAGGACTTCTAGTTCACCTACAATCAAAGAGCATTCTGAACTCCAGCAGTGATGGAATTGAACCAATCTTGGTGCACAGAACTCCCATGACAGAAAATACTGGTAGGGTTTGGTGGGCATTGACCTTGAGTTTTGGAGTTGTAGTTCGCCTACATCCAGAGAGCACTGTGGACTCAAACAATGATAGTTCGGGACCAAACTTGGCAGGAATACTCTATATGCCCAAATGTAAACACTGGTGGAGTTTGGGGGAAGTAGAGCTTGACATTTGGAAGTTGTAGTTGCTAGGATTTATAGTTCACGTACAATCAAAGAGCCCGCTGAACCCCACCAACGATAGAATTGGGCCAAACTTCCCACATAGAACCCCCATGACCAACAGACTGATGGTCTTTGGCTTTTGGACACTTGTGAAGATGGGTTAAGTACATTGGGTATTTGTTCAGTTGTGCAACCTTGCCACTCAACAAAAGTGTTGCAAAATACAATCGATGTGCAACTATGCATGCAGAGATTTACTATATGCAATTCTGAACTTAGACCCAATATATAACATAAGATATTGGGCCTTGTCGAGCATTGTTTTCATAGAACTCAATGCTGCTGTTTTATACTCTTATGTTTTATTTAACTGTGTTTTTATCTGGATTGTTATATTTCATCATGTTTTTATCATGATTGTGTTTTTGTTTTAATGGATTGTTTTGATTTGTGTTTTGTCCTGTATGTAAGCTGCCCCGAATCTCTTCGGGGAGATGGTGGTGGGGTATAAGAATTAAGTCGTTGTTGTTATTGTTGCTGTTGTTGCTGTTGTTACATAATGCATAACGTAAGATTGCTATAACAGCCACCGAATAAGTGTTGAGGAATGGCATCCTGACACTTGCATCACAATATTCAGCATTTGCAGAGTATTATTGGATCAGCCTGTTGCTTTGGACATAGTCCACCACTGCAAACTATATTGTGTACACTTAATTTTATTGTCACTACTATATTGTATTAGTCTTTTTGGCAATGCATTGCAGCCTGCTTTGGGATTCCAAAAACAAAACCCTTCTATTGTCATTTCAAACAAAGCAATGACATAGGAACATTAAAGTTAATTAGTTACATTATAGTTGCACCAAAAAGTAATTTGATACATTCTCATTCATCAAAGCTAATCAAATGGTTCATTTTAGTTGCTTTTTAAAGAATCTATGGGTGCCTCTGGATGGGTATAAAATTTCATGGATTATTGAGACTTTCTATTTCTTTTTGTTTTGTTTGTATATGATATATGTATTTGCATGTGCATTTACAATGAGGTATCTTGGAGATGAGACCCAAGTCTTAACTTAGAATTCATTGGTTTCATATAGATATCATACACATAGCCTGAAGATAATTTCATGCACAATATTTTGAATAGTTTTGTGCAAAAGACCGAAGAGTCACTATCTCAACCACCTACATGGTTGATTTTGGAGTATTTCAGAACTCTGGATAAGGGATACTCAGCCTCTACAAGAAAAGTTTCTAAATGTATCTGGATCCCCATTTGCTCACTGTGCGGGAGGTATGGCAGAGAACTGTCATTGACATTTTCTTTCCCCTAGCAATGTGTCTTTCCCCCGGAGCCTATAAGCACACAGGAAAACCCAAGGATATGGTCAATCTATGTTGAAGTTGACTCAAAAACACTTAACAGCAGCCAACAAATGAATCTAAATTATCTGTCTTTCCTCAATATAAAATGCTGTTTTTATGTTCTTAGTAACAGTCTTGTTTTTTTATTTGCTTTCAAAGGTCAGCATTTCTACTGTGGGATATGGAGACATGTGTCCAGAAACCCACCTCGGACGACTCTTTGCTTTCCTCTGCATTGCTTTTGGAATAATTTTGAATGGCATGCCCATCTCTGTCCTCTATAATAAATTCTCAGACTATTACACCAAACTAAAAGCATATGAGTATACAGCTATACGGAAAGACAGAGGGAAAGTAAATTTCACACGGCGGGCTGTGAAGAAGATGTCTGAGTGCTGTGGAAACAGGCTATCCTGACTGCTAAGATGGAGAAACCATTAATTCCCTGGAAGGGGGGGGGGAAGGAAAAAGAAATGGAGAGACACGAGAAAACAAGTCAGTCAGCCCACAAGGTCAACTGGTCTAGAAATGAAGATGGGATGTGGATGTCTTGGTTCAAAACATTTTTGTTAAAAAAAAAATAAGCATAAAGATGTGGGTCTCATTATTTTGTCTGACAAAAGTTCCTTCTGACATCCAAGTATCAACTGGAATTTAATGGTGCATCAGGATTGTGATCAAACAGTTGATTCTAATAAGCAATTCACTGAAAAACGGGGTATAGTGCAGCATCAAAAATTACTTTACAAAAATAGTGCTGCCACAGTGAGAACAAAAAGAATTTTATTTTCTGTCTCTGTTTGTGTGCATACACAAACACAGAATTTATTTTCTGTCTCTGTTTGTGTGCATACACATATAGACATCATAGTAGTGGATATTGCCTGCACATATAGACCTATAAGTATATATGTGCATAGGTCTGGTGGAGATTGTCTCAAGATCAGGATAAGAGTAACTGACTTTCAGCCAGAAATATCCTGATGATGTGTACCTGAATTATGCTACAGTCTTGATCTCCAAAGAAGAGAATATGTACATCATCTGTGTCCTGTAAATATATCCTCAGATACCAGAATTAAGTTGCTGTAGTTAATTTAAGTATTACTGCAGTAAAAGTTCAAGCTATCCTTTTTTAAAAACAGAGAGAGAGAAACCCCACCCCAGACATTTGGCTCTGTAGGTCACTGCTTTTAAGACTGTGGGTTGCAACTAGGGTTGTGCATTCGGGGTAAACCCTGACCCGTTTTGTGTCCTGGCTTTCGGTGGGGGCACCAATCAATTTTTTGGGAGCCTCCCAAAATCAGGATATCTGTTTTCGCTCGCTGGTGCCAAAAGATCCATTTTCTATCAGCCGGGGGGGGGGGGTTCCCACCTAGGCTCCCCTTCCTAGTGCATGCTTTAAAGAAGCTTCTTCTTACCTGCTGTTTTTACTCTAGAGGAGGTGCTCAGCTGCAGGCCCTGGCAGGCATGGGCACTCCTGCACGCCACACATGCACTCTCCTTGGAAAGAAAGTGTGTGTGTGGCATGCAGGCCCAAAGTGCCTGCACCTGCCAGGGCCTGCAGCTGAGTTCCTCTTACTCTAGAGTAAGAGGCACTCGGCTGCAGCCCTGGCAGGCATGGGCACTCCTGCACGCCACACATGCACTCTCCTTGGAAAGAAAGTGTGTGTGTCATGCAGGACCAGAGTGCCTGCACCTGCCAGGGCCTGCAGCTGAGTTCCTCTCACACTAGAGTAAGAGGCACTGGGCTGCAGCCCTGGCAGGTGCAGGCACTCCTGCATGCCACACATGCACTCTCCTTGGAAAGAGTGTTCGCGTGCAGGCCCAGTAGCCAAGCACCTCTTCCTCTAGAGACACATGCACTTTCCCTGGCAAGCAAGCAGGAGTGTGTCCCAGCTCCTAGCCTGCTTTTCAGCATCACAGAGTAAGAGGCAACTATGCCCAGTATTTACAGTGAACTCTGAAGAAAATGATTAATCTGTACTTCATAAAAAGGAAAATCAGCATGTTTAGCAAGCTTTGTAAACACTGATTTATTGTCAGTGCTTTATTTTTATTCCTCTTTTACATACCTATATAACTTGGGTCACATGAAAGTTTCTTGAGAAAAAAAGGGTTGCAAGTGGAAACGTTTAAGAAGCCCTGGTTTAGCCCAATGTGAGTACAAGGAATCAAACTTTTTAGTTCACATATATTGGGCAGCATTCAGTATTGCAATTATAGAGCCGTAATCTGGAGCGATGGTTCTGAAACTGCTCCATATTCAGAAACACGACATATTCACAATGGTGGCACTATTGCCATGACTGTGAATACAGCCCTCCCTGGCCTTTCTTAACAGACAGAGGCCACACCAGCATGTTACTAGTGGGGGGGGGGGCAGTCAGGGGGGCAGTGGAAATATCCTGCTGTCTTTCAATTGGCAGCAAAACAGATCTCCATCTCTTGGAATGGCTACAGCCTGTGAGAATAGGTTTAGAACATCATGTCAGGTAGCCTTTCTTAGGCCTCTTCTACACTATCATACAATCCAGTTTATCAAAGAAAATAATCCCCATTATATGCTTTGAATTTAATTATATGAACTTCCATATGATCTAGTTCAAAGCAGATAATCTGGATTTTATAGGGAAGTGTAGAAGGGGCCAAGTTACACATTAGTACATTGTTCCCTCGCTACTTTGTGGTTCACTTACTGCGGACTCGCTATTTCACAGTTTTTAAGTAGCAAGGGAACACTGTAGTGAAGAGGGAAGAAGAGCAGCCCGCACACCCTCTTTACCTTCCTCTTCCTCCTCATTGTTGCTGCCTGGGCCTCTTGCCACGGCTTGGGCCCTGCGCCACCTCAACTGCCTCCTGAATCGCAGGGCCCAAGCGGCAGCAAAAGAGGCCCAGGTGGTGGTGAGGAGGAGAAGGGTGAGGCGTCCCTACTTCATGGTTTTTATTTATCGCGGGTGGTCCTGGAATGTAGCCCCCACAATAAATGAGGGAACACTGTAACCAACACTATGCAAAATGTGGACCTATACTTTAAAGTTCAAAGCAGCTCTGAGTATGTGCATAGCTAAAGCCTGAACAAAAATGTAACACTAACCAAAAATCCCAGGCTCAGCCACCTCCCCACATGAAGCTCAACCAATCAACTTTGTGCATCTTATTTTACACTTGGCACATACACTAACTGATTTCTTGCATGATCCAACAATCTTTGTGCCTGAATCTTTGGCACATCACCATTACACAAGCAAGTATGGTTGTGCAGTGGTGGAGACCCCTTGAGACCAGGGGGAATGGATACAAATACAGGCTTTAAATCCATCTCACATGCAAACCCCAAACTTTCCTGACCTGGAGATCCAAAAAAGCACAATTCGGTCAGACCTCAACTTGAAACCTAAGACCTGGGACTTCATCCCACGCAATAAGTAAAGTGTTGGGGATCATTGCTTTTCCCTTAAGCTTTGCAATGCCCCATTTGGAAATTAAATGAATTATTTTCCTTCCCCTGTCATGTATTCCTTCATTCAGTTTTCTTTTCAAATTGTAGTTCTTAGACCTCAGGACCTGACCCCCTCCTCCCCCGCCAAACCTGGGAGTATAGAGAGCAATCTCAGAGTGAAAGAGCTGGTGTGGAAAAAAATGAATAGTATGCTGTAGATTTATTGTTGCTACGGAAATCTTTGGGACAACTTTTGTTAGGACTGCCACATTTCAAGGTGCCAAGGGGGTCCACAATTTTGGTGGGTCACTTCTGAGTGACAGGCAGGATGTTTAAATATAACAGATTACATTACTCCAGGCAATAGATAAGGCTGCATGCAACCCTCGGATTAGGCAAATGTCTTCTAGGTTGTTGTACAGCTTGCTGCACTTTGCAAAGGTTAATTAAATCAAGCATTGCAATTTGGAAAAGACACTTCTTTTGGAGCTTTGAAAATATGTTCTGTCTGTAAGTGTTCGAATGACAAGCTGTGAGCAACTGCTGTAGCTTCTTAATGACATCTCCAGGGCTGTTTGTCTGTCTCAGGTTTGGCACGGATATCTCAGGGTCTGGCATAAAGATGATCTGGCAACCCCAGATACGGTAGACCCTTGGGGGCCACTTTCACAACTTTTCAAAGCTTTCCAAACCATAGGAAATCAGTGTAGGGGAATATTAATTTGCCTTGGAGTTGATTGAAGATAGAATATATAAATACAGGAAAGGAACATGCCCTTCTAGACTTTTTCTATCTTACTAGTTCTGTTCCCACCTTGCTCAGCCTTCTCCAAATGACTGAAGCAACAGCTTGAGGTGTGCATTTGTTGTATCATTGTAAGCAAGAATTGTGAAATTAATACTTCATACTCTCAAAAACTTCTCAAATGAAAACCAGGACAGGTGTGATTAAGCAACCTCGGAGAGTGGACAAGATAGCAAATGTTTCAGTGAGGAAAAACACACAAACTAGGGCCTCTTCTACACTGCCATAAAAATCCAGATTATCATCTTTGAACTGGATTATATGGAAGTGTAGGCTCATATAATCCAGTCCAAAACAGATAATGTGAATTATCTGATTTGATTCGTAGCCAGGAAATCAGAAGACATTTACTTTTTGGGAGAAGAGCAATGACCAATCTCAATAAAATAGTGAAGAATAGAGACATCACACTGGCAGCGAAGATCCGGATAGTTAAAGCAATGGCATTCCCCATAGCAACCTATGGATATGAGAGCTGGACCATAAGGAAGGGTGAGCGGAGGAAGATAGATGCTTTTGAACTGTGGTGTTGGAGGAAAATTCTGAGCATGCCTTAGACCACAAGAAGATCAAACCCGTCCATACTTCAAGAAATAAAGCCCAGCTGCCCATTGGAGGGAAGGATATTAGAGGCAAAGATGAAGTACTTTGGCCACATCATGGGAAGACAGAAAAGCTTAGAGAAGACAATGATGCTGGGGGGAAAGGAAGGGAAAAGGAAGAGAGGCCAACCAAGGGCAAGATGGATGAATGTTCTCCTTGAAGTGACCTTGAAGGAGCTGGGGATGGCCACGGTCGACAGGGAGCTCTGGCGTGGGCTGGTTCATGAGGTCACGAAGAGTTGGAAACGAAACAAATAAATAACAACAATCTGATTTGATAATCTGGATTATATGGCAATGTAGAAGGGGCCTAGGGAGGACTGCAGCAGTTTGCTTTTCCTGACTCTACTCAGAAAGGCAAGACTCTCCCTGCTCCCACTGAGTGCTACTTTTATACTTTGAATTCATTTTTCAGCAATTTAATCAGAGTGAGGACAAAGAGGGAAAGTGGGAGAAGAAGAGAGAACCAGGCATGTAGCCAGGGAGGGGGCTGAGGGGCTTCAGCCCCCCCCCCCGAAATTCTCATGGTGGTTCGCGAAAAGGCCTTACTGGTGCATTATTTAAACTGTTATGTTTATTCATATCATGATCTGATCACCATACTCAAT